ATATAATATATATATTATAATATATATATTATAATTTTTGTTTTCATTTTGATCTAGATCATTCTCTTTAAAGGCCATCTTGATCTTGAAATTAATCATGGAATTTCTAATATTATAAATCGTATAATATTATATTTATTAATTTTTAATTACATTCTCTTTTTCGTTAAGTGATCTTGAATTCATAATCTGAAATAAAACTTTAAAAAGTGGAATTGGAATTGAAAACTCTAATATAATTCTTCATTCTTTATTATGAAAATAATTACATGTATTATAAAATAATATTTAAATTAAATAAACAAAATTAAATTAAAAAAATTAGATTTAATAAAAAAAATAAAATATTTGTAATTTGATATCTCTAATATTAAAATATCTATCCATGGTAAATTACAGAACATTAATTAAAAATTGCTCGGTGCATTGTATAATTTATTAAAAAAAATTTGAACAATATGTGTAAAATGCATATTGGTACTTACTAATACATTAATCCTAATATTTTAATTTAAATTTAATATGACATGTACATTATATTTAAAAAATTAAATGACATATTGAATAAATTAATAATATATGTATAACGTATAATTAAATATAAAATATAATTAAACAATATGTATATAATTTGTCAATTTAATTGACAATAAAGGTTTATATGCAAATTTGAAAATTAAATGACAATATCAAGTAATTGTAACTGAATTTGAAGGCATCATAGGATATGACCGTATTCTTCATCATATCAGCTTTATTGATTTCAACATACACGTTCAAGTTGTTATATTGTCATTTCTTCTACGCAATTTTTAACAAAAGTATACTATCATCCTCACTATCATCTTATCTTTATTCTTATCTTTTGCTAGATTATTAAATACTATATCTTTAAAACACGATTTAACATATACATTAATCATGACATATGTCCGCTTTACAATTGAACACAGTTTCTTCTAGTTTGTTCCTCAGAAAATTCCAATCGCATATGCCGTGTTCGCAACAATCGATATCTAACGGTTTTTCATTTAAGTACAAGTTCACCTTATAATCTTTACTACATCTGAAAATAATATTAGCAGAATAATAAGAAGAGAATAAATTAATCTGAATAATTAAAAAAAATCTAAAATAATCATGGACGTACTTAAATAACATAATCACTAAATTCGCGGAGAGCGGCGTTAAGTGAGCTTGATACCATTTCCTGTTTCTTGCTTGGATGAAATTTTTAGCTAACAAAGGTTCTGGATCTTTTGCAGCTCCAATTGTTGATAACAAAAGTTGAATCGCGGTAATATCAGCAAAGTAAAAAATACCTTTCGGTTCGTCTACACCATATCCATCTTCAAAATTTCTAAAATATTCACATGTAATATATGATGCGATGATTTATTATTGATGATATTATACATACTTCAATTTAAATGTAATTTCCATGTAATTTATTATCAACTATATTAAAGTAATTTTGAGAAAGATAAATCATTTTTTTATTAAAATGGTTTTATTAAAATGGTTTTATGACTATAATTATTAAAGAAAATTTTAATTTATGATATTCCTATATATTATATAAAATTTTTGCATTAATAATGTTCAACATATTATAAAAAAAAATTGTAATATTTTTCTTAAAAATAGATATCTTTTAAATATTTATTTTAAATATTTTTAGAATCAATTGTAATGAAGCAATTGAAACAGATTATATAGGATAGATAAAATTATATGAAAAAATAATAATTAATCATTTAAAAAAAAATAAAATTTTACATTTATTATAATAATATTTTATTTTATAATTTAAGATTTTTTTCTCAATTATTTTATATTTTCATATTTTATGCATATATTATTCTATATTTTCTATTATCTATTTTCTTTATTTTTATTTCAACATTCAATATATTTTTGCATATGTTTCACATTAAAAATAATGGTCCAATTAACCCCTTTCCATCCGATCAAGTTCCATTATATATTAAACGAAAGTCTAATCTAAAGTTAATTATATAATACTTACAAATTTTGAATTAGGAATCATTTGAAATATTTTAATTATAATATATTATAATTAAAATATATTATATAGAAAAATTTAATAAAATGTGTTTTTACATCTCAGAAGAATGAAATTATAAAGAGAAATTTTTATATTTAATTTAAATTTAAAAAATGAAATATTTATCAATTATAAATTAAATATGAATTAATAAATAAAGTTTTATTTATTTATACAACTAACAGAGCTAAAATCAATTAATAATTGTAACATTAAAGAGATATTTCAAAATTATCTATCTTACTTACATGGTCCACTTCTTTTGGATTTTCTATATATACTTACCGAAAATGATTATAAACGTCCTTTACCATTGGACATCCAACAATTTGTCTCATGTTTTGACCATAACCTGAATGATAATAAGACATCAAATCTTCACTGAATTGAATCTTTTCCAGATCCTCCTTTCTAAAAATGGCGCACCAGGGAGATGACCCGTAATAAATAGTCTCAAAAGTGCAAGTACGATAAAAAGATTTGATAGTACCTAAATAAAATTGATTAATAGAATTAATAAAAAATTCATTTAAAACGAAAAAAGATTAAATTTGAATTATAATTATAAAATAAGATTTTGTACTAAAAGGAAGTGGTGACGAATAACCGAGTCGATCACTAATACTCTGAAGCATTTCATTCCATTCTGCAGATTGTATATATTTATGAAATTCTTTCATTTGTGATGCACTCTTATGTTTCAAAAATGGCTGATAAATATTATGAAACTGTAAATTATTATACATTAAACAATTATACAATTAAAAATTATCTTAATGGTTAATAATTAATATTATACGAACTTGCAATAAATTATCTTTCTTCTTTATTTTTATGTCAAAAGTTACATTACCAAACAGACCATTTATGAAACTATTTATGCTATCTTTTGTTCCCAATTGTTCAATTCCTCTAAACTATATATAGATCAAAATGAATATCACTTATAAAAATTTATAAATATATATATATTAAATTTAAAATACTTACAAGATATTCATGTTTTAAAGATTTAATTGAGTCATATTCAAAAAAATTCGGGAAATAATTTTTAAATCGTATACCAAGAGAAAACATATCTTGTTTATCTTGCTTTATCAATAGCTTAAGATTATCATCATCTAGAAATTCATATTTTTTCCACTCTCTCAGTTTTTCAATGTCCTTTGCACATAAATGAACTCCTAATAATAAATGTAACGTTATATAAAAATTATGAACTAATTAAAAATATTTATATTATACTTACCGCCTAGGTCATAGCTCTCGGAAATATTGTTATGATATTTTTGCAAGAGTTCATGTACATGAGGCGACCAATAATTGTTATCACTACTAATTGAATGTCTAGCTAACATCCAAATCTGGCGAAGTTTACAATCTATGAAAAAAGAAAATATAAAAAAGGTAAGTAGAAAATATAATTTATGCATTATTTGAGTTTTGTAGATATAAGGTGACAATCTATTACCTACTTGGCAAATGAGGATTAGTTATTGCACCACGAACAATATGATTACGTGTGTATGGACCGAAGTGCATAAAGGGATCTGTATCATCAGTGTAACAATAATCGCTTAAAACTAAATGACTTGTCAAACAAAAAATTGCGATTAATATCGCAATGATTTTTATATTCGACATATTTATTTTCTTGAAGGAACCTATATTGTATCTGAAATGAAAAATTATGTATATATAATTAAATAATTTAAAATATATACATATTATTGCGATGTTTTTTTGAAAACGACATATATATATAAAAAGTACATTGCTTAAAAAAAACATAAAAATAAACACAAAATTTAAAGTAAAATTTATGAAAGTTATGAGAATTCCCTGTTACGAGATGGTACTTACATGTTATCGTTTCAACGATTGTTTAAGCTTAAACACTGCTACTCACCTTCTACGATTGAACGACTTAAGCGCGCGTTCTCCTCTTTTATAGGAAGGAGCCTATCAATACCTTCAGGTCTCAATGCTCTATAAGATTTAAATGAACGTTTTCGAATGTGTATTAAGATTGTTAATGACGTATAAAAAAGAACAATTTACAACAGATTATAATTACATTGAATTTCTTATATACTTCAATTATTATCTTATAGAATATTTTATTGTATTTAGTACGCATCTTAAATTTCCTGTTCAGCTATACGCAAGATAAACGTGATGTTAAAACCGCACTTAAGCATTGTCGTACACCAATAAACTAAGCATACCTCAGAGTGTAATCTCGAAAGCTGTATAACCTCGAAACAAGTTCAATTAAAATTTGATTTCATTACCTATAAAAGTACAATGGAAAACAATACGATTAGAACGGATAATAAAATCGTAAATAAATGAATAGTTAAAATGAACGAATTATTAAAAAACATATCATATTTCAGAGAAATTTTGATAATAATTTTCTTGTGTAAAGATAAATGGATATACATATGTTTAAATTATATATTTAAATCAATGCATACATATAACTGAAAGTGTTTATGAAAATAAAGGGATGATTATAAGATTTTTTTCATACATTGAAAAAAATGAAAGAAGTTCATATATATGTACATACGAATATGCTTATATAATTCATATGTACATGTATATGTATATGTATGTATTTATCGAGTCATAAATAATTTAATTTTGCATTGGATGGAGTAAGTGATAAGGTGAGAATATTCAACTGTGTGCACGATAGTACAGTAGAATACAGTATAGTAACACAATATTTGTTACAGTATCCATTTGCGTAGCAGACTTTTTTAACGAAAACACGACGCATAATGATAATACAATTAGCTGATTTAACTGGTCAAAAGTCAATTTAAAAAATTTTTATTACTTAAGGTAATTAAATATGTGAATTAAAAATGTTATGATATTTTTTTTATCATTTATAAGACTTCTTGAAGTCATAAAATATACTTTGTCAAATGTTAAGAATTATTATAATACATACGATCTTAAAATTTTTGTGAAATAATTTTTATGTTTTAAAAAGATTTTTTTCATTATTTTAGTTTTTGATTAAATATTTGCTTTATATAAAAGATCATTTCTCTTTTATTATGTCTTTTTGTGATTACTAATATTTAAAAGTATACATAAAAATATATTATAATACTTCACGAATAATTTTATTATATTTCAAAATGAGTCTCCATATTTTTTTTAAGCATTATTTTATAAAATTTATATTTACAATAAAAAAAATTAGTATCCACTATTTGTTTTTAGATCATTAATAATAAAGTTAAAATGACTAAATGTTAAAAGAGAATCTAACAAATGGCAAAAAGAGTCAGTTTAAAGTTATGAAACAAAAAGCATTAAAAAAATTAGTTTTTGTTTCATATTATTTATAGTTTGATAGTTGCAAATGCTTTAATGGATCGAATAATTCAAAGAACAAAATAAGACTGTGATGACAAAATATGTAATTATGCAGTATATTCGTTTTATCTATGAACAGCAAAAATATGATACGAAAAAATGTTCTATACAAAAGTTATAGAATTTAAGGTATATATAGCGATAACATACATTTAATTTTATAAATATATGATTTTATATATATATTTTATTAACTTTAAAACACATTATGAAAATTACATTAATGTTTAAAAACTCTATATTTTTATGCTTGATATTCAGATATTTTCAAACATTTAATATATTTATATAAATCGTATCTAAAGATATATCGACATTAGCATTATTCCCTGATATATATAGAAAATTTTTCGATCGAACTTTACATCATAATGACATTAAAAAATGTCAATTTTATGCATTTAATGTGATTTGCAAATGAACATGAAATTTTATTTAAATACGGTTTTTTTTTTATTTTGTTGCAAATTATATACGAGAATTATAAATGTTACAAAATATAAATATTACAATTTATCATTTTATTTTCTCTTATCATAATCAAAATCATGAATATTTCAAATCTTCTTTAATATACTGAAATTACTATTATTATCATATATCTTATCTTGCCTATTTTTTTTTTAAACTATAAAATAAATTCATATTAATAAAACGCATAAAACTTATTATTATGGTCACATTGTAAACATGTTGTCACAGTGTAAACACATTGTAAACAAAAGAAAGATATCAACAATATCAATAATAGTTATATTGAGAAAATGTCTTAATTGTAATATATGGAATATGCAATATGATATTTATAATAATATATATATAATAATACAAATAATGTATAGAAAAAGGTAGTAATATATTATATTTTTTATATTTTATAAAATGAGATGTTGCAAATGTTTAAATCAAAGTTATAAATGTTATAATATTATAAAAACAGCGAATTAAATTTTAGACCTAATATATCATAGTCAGTACTTTAAATTCATATCGAATTGGAAATCTTTTTTTTTTTAAAATCTGATTAAAATTTCGAAAATTCAAATATATAGTTTATATAAATTGTGTCAATAATGACACAATTATAACAAAAATTTATAATATAAATGTGATAATATAATATAATGTGATAATAGATGTGATTTTTCATTTACTTTTCTTTTCTTTTAACTTTCAAAACATTTTTATACTTTATATATATAAATATAAAAATCCAAATAAGGAAAATATAATATATATAGGAATTATTTTAATTTACATTAATAATAATTATCTTAATTAATAAAACATAATTATTTTACATTTTTTTATATTAATTTCATTCTCATAGTTGTAAATAATCAGCATCAAGAAATAATTCTTTACTAGAATATTAGAATCTATATTAGAAACTATTTTTGTTTAAAGATTTTCACAATTTAATTATATTAATGAATTTAATTAATACTAAATATTAATAATTACAAATACTAAATAATTTATATTAAAATATTTAATTTAATTATATATATATATATAATTATTTCAATTTTAAAAAGTAAACTAGAAATTCAATTATAATTATAATAATTGAATAAATATATTCTATATGAGAGTTTGCTTCGTCTGACATAACAAATTTAAATTGTTTATAATTTAATAAAAAAAATCTTAATTGAGATTTTTATATACTAATTTTTGTTTGTAGTTTTTTTTTTTAATTAATATCTCTAATATAATTTCTTTCTATCTTTGAAAAATGTATCATGAATATATTAACATGTATACATTCGTCTATGAAATGGAAATAGGTTCAACAAGATGCATTGATCCTATGCAGAAATTATGCTTGAGTACTGCAATATATATAAGAAGAAAAAGAGATTGATAAAGAATAATAATATTTATTAATAATAGAATAATAATTAATAAAGAATAATAAATTAATAAAAATAGAAAGAAAAAATATAGAAGAATTGAGAAACAAAAAGAGAGAACAATAGAGAAAGAACAATATTTAAGATGTATAAAAATTGAATTGTATTTTAGATTGTATTATGACAAAAATATAAATAATTAGAAAAAATAAGAAAATTTTATTTTATTTTTGTCATATTATTTCTTTACATTATTACATCATGATTAAATAATAAATATCTTATTTATTATCTTATTTAAATAATAAATATCTTATTTATTATTTAAATGTAAACATTTCATAAATATGATTAATTTAAATTATTATATATTATATATTTAAATTATAAATTTGAAATGTTTGAAATCTCAAATTATTTGAAATATATTAATAACTAAAAATTTTATCATATTTTCAATGATAGTTATTACATTTTTTATTAATTTTGTTACTAATGAAAAATTTTCAGAAATATCGATAATTATTTCAACAATTCTTTACGATTTTTTAAAATTAAATTGAAAATTCTTTTGATTGAATATTAAAATTCTTAAAAAATATACGACTTTTAAACTTTTGACATGATATATATATGTATGTAAAAATATGTACATGATATGTAATATCTAATGCATTTAATTGATTATAAATTGTAAATTTTAAGAGAAGTATGTGCAAATATGTGAAAAATTTAATATGATGCATGTATTTTTATTTTTCTTAGAATTTGGATGAAATTTTTTATTTTTGTTATATTAATATTTTTTACATGTATTTTTATTTTTCTTAGAATTTGGATGAAATTTTTTATTTTTGTTACATTAATATTTTTAATGATTTTAAATGATTTTTAGTTATTAACGTCAATTTAAAATTAAAATAATTGTTTATGCTTTTTTATTATTTGTATACGTATAAAAATAAAAATTAATATTCTACATTTTGTGTTTATATTTGAAATAATTTTCTACTATAATAATTAAGATTAAGAATTTAGTTCTTTAATATCTACATTAAAAAATCCATAACAATCTTATCCAATATAAACATATCAATCATTAATAATTAAGCAATTGTAAATTTTTTTCATTATTAAATAAAAATAAGAGTAGATATAAATTAACAAAATTTTATTTGTGTCATCTTTATATCATTTTATATTATTTTTATTATTATATATTAATTTTATATTTTTATTGTATATTTTATATTTTTATTATACAATTTTCATTATTAATTATTTATTATTAATACATTTTATAATGATATTATTTTATAATATTGTTGTATCGAAGACTTTGTTTTTCAATCGTGTTTAACTTTCATAGAAACATTTCTATTCAAATATTTTAGGTTAATTTTATCTAAAAAATGTACAAAATCTTTTATTATTTACACATTCACTTTTTGATCACAGTCAAATCAAATTTTCAATTTCTATTTCAAATTTCACGTCAAACGCTAAATTTTTGTATGAATTTACGATGAAATCAATTTTAAATCAATAATATATTTATCTTATAAAAAAAATTTTATTAAAAATTATAAAAATATTTGATTAATTTCATATTTCTGATCATATTCAAAATTATTTCAAGATCATAAATATATTTTGGATATATTCTCAAAATTGTTTTTTTTTTTTGTATTATATTGTCATAAAACAACTAGGGAACATACATAATATTTCTTCAAAAACAGGAATATTCAATAGAGTTTGACAATCATTACTTCAATAAATTGAAGTTTATATTTTTTTTAAAAGAAGAAATTTTGAAAATTTATTATAATTGTCAAAATAATCTAATATAAATTCTCAAACATTTATTATTCTTCATAAATTTTAATAAATCTTAATAAATCATTTTCGGATATCAATTAATATAATTTTTTATCTGTTTGAATTTTTAATACATACTATTTTTTAATACATACTATAAATCTGAATTTCTTCCCTCTTCTCTCCCCATAATCAACTATTACTGGAAACAATATTTA